AAATCTATCCTAGAATCATTTTGTAGATATAACAAGAAAAGAATACATCTTTATATATTTATTATTTTCTAAGAGTTTCATTTCATATTTCATATTTCATTACTATATTTTATTGTCTAACCATTGATAGAATAGATCCCAAATTTTATAAAATTGTTTATCATCTTGTTCTCCAATTTCAAATGTCAGTCTACTCATTTCAGCACATTCCAATATTTTCTTAATGATTTCCTCCTGTGATGGTGTTTTCTCATTTTTCCAGGTTTTAGCAAATACAATCCTAGCCGCTGTTAATACATTTACAATCAAATATTTCAAATCTTTATTATATATTTCAGGTAAAATTCCCAATAAAAATATCTCTGGTTTCAAATCTATATGTTTTTTTGTCATTTTTTTCAACCATGTGTGGATTTTAGTCCAATATTTTTTAGCATCCGCACATGTCCACCACATATGGTAATATCAGCCAGGTGTCTAATGACATTTCCAACATTTTTCGAATTTATTCTTGAACATTCTTGCTATTCTTGTTGGGGGAAAATGCCACCTGTAAAACATCTTATACAAATTTTCTTTATATGCTGTTGACATTGTCATTTTATAATTTTGGGACCACAATTTTTGCCATTTCTCTAGATCAATCCCATATCCAAAATTCTTTCCCCAAGCAATCATAGTTTCTTTAACTTGTTCTTCTTCTAGTTTAATTTCTAATAAATATCCATACAATTTTTAATCACCTTTTCATCAGTACCTGTCAAAATCTTATCTAAGTCAGTCAGTTTATCATAGAAACCTTCTGTTTTAGAGTCTTTATCATACCTTGAATGTATTTGCGCATATGAAAACCAATTCATCCTTATACCTTGTTCCTCTAGTTTTTGTATAGATTTAAGTTCACCCTTTTCATTCAATATTTCACCATATCTAACTGTTTGTTCCTTTTTGTATATTATAGGATAAGAAAATGCTTCAATAGTCGATAGCCAGACTGGAATTTTCAAATAACATTGTCTTTTAGTCTTCTCCCAGTTTAACCACAGAGACTCCCGTATATAATGTCTTCTAAAATACCCCTGTGTTTTAGTTCCTTTATACAATAGAAAAGCATGCCACCCCAACAACAGATCATGTCCTTCTAATGTCAACAATCTAGTATTTCTTAATGTTATCCATTCCTTAACCCAGTGGCCCCCAACCTTTTTTGTGCCATGGCCCGGTACCGGCATCACAAAATGATCCGTGGCCCGGTACCGGCATCAGCACGCATGACAAAGCATTTCCTCTCCCCCCCCACCTCCCCTCCAGGTCTTCCCCAGCGACCCCTCCCTGCATGGAAGCCTCAGCTGGTGCTTTTGGGCTCTTCCTCGCCCCCCTGCATGAGATCCTCCGAGCTGCAGGCTAAAGGCGGCAGGACTCCTCCGGGCTGATCGCGCAGGCACCTGGCAGCTGGGGGGGGAGGGGCAGGAGAAGAGACCCAGGGTGTGATGTGGGTTCACTTTCCTCCCCATGGAGAACTTTTTTTGCATCTGGTGCGGGTAGTTCGGCGAGAGGCAGGCGGCTCTATAACCCCAAAGGCAGCTCTTGCCTGGCATCAGCACGCATGCACGCCCCCACACACAAAACACCCAATCAAACACATGCTCACTATCCCCACAGCATGAGAATAACAGGAATAATAGTCTTCTCCCCGCCCCACTCCGCCCGCTACTAGCCTTGCGGTTGCGACTTGTGTCCTCGCTCCTTGGCTCAGTTTTTCCTGCAACTGACTCCCGCCTCACACTTTTGAAAGAGCGACAGTGGCCTGAGGAGTCGTTGAAGCGCACCCTGTTGGGGGGGTGGGGGGAGAGAAAAAGGCGTATTATTACATGAGCCTTTTAAACTTGTGAGAATGGGCTTCCCAGGCAAAAACCATTTATTTACATCTGGGTGGCCAGGAATCGTTTGCAAAACCACTTCGCCTTCACCAGTCCTCTTTGCAAAGCGCTGCCGCGGCTCTTCCTTTTTGCCTTTCCCTTCCCGAGGCAACGCGGGACTGGAGCCGCGTGGAGCCATGCCGGGCAGTAGCAACTCCTGACTCAGGGGGCCTCCGAGGGGAGGGGAAGGAGGAGAAGAAAGGGGGGGAAAGGGGGGGGCGGGGCTGATTCCCCCCCAAAATTGGAATTCCAAAGAATATCATGTCTGTCAAAAGAAGATGGCGGAGCCCAGCAAACCGGTGGCCCCATAGAAAATAATCCACGGACCGGTACCGGTCCGTAGCCCGGTGGTTGGGGACCCCTGCTTTAACCCACATCAAATTTGTACCTTGGTAATACAACTCCCAATTAAGCAAACCAAATCCTCCTCTTATTCTAGCATCTTGCAAAAGTTTTAACTTTATTCTCGCTTTCTTACCTTGCCATATATATTTCAACACAATTTTATTTAAATCTTCAAAGTATTCTTTTCCAAGCCTAATTGGAAATGTTTGGAACAAATATAAAATTCGGGATAATATAGTCATCTTGATTGTTGATATTCTCCCTATTAATGACAGTTGTAAATTTTCCCATTTCGCCAAATCTAGCGCTATCTGCTGCTTAAGTTTGATATAATTATTATCTTTTAGTGTACTGCATCTTGCTGTCAAGTATATCCCCAAGTACTTGATCTTATTTGTGACAGAGAGAGAGCGCCTCTTTTACAAATTACAGAACTCTTAAAATATGGTAAAATCTGAATCTTACCTGTGAAGCTGTAATGTGGCAGTCCACTCACTTACATGAGCTGCTCTTCCATTCATACAGATGATACAATGTATTTTATTATTGCTATGTATCATTATACTGTCAAGGTTCCAAGTAACATATCCATAGCAAAGATAACTCCAAGGCAGGTAAGATTCTTCAAAGAACAATTTTTTAGGGAATATCATATTGGCACAAACTGATGAAAACTGACTCCGAATGGATTCCACAGTTTTCACCTAATTAAAAGTAAAAGTTTAGCACTTTTCCAAAACAATCAGTCACATGGTCCAGTCAGGATACAGTCCAGTTGCTCAACCCCCACTGAACCCCTGCGGGAATGTCCTTGGTTCCCAAGAGAAAATAGTTTGTTTTGGCTACAGTACCCCAACTATCTCTATCCCTTCCTCCCTAACCCTCAGCTCCAATGTCAGCACTGAAGCCTCAAAATAGCCTCAGTCTGGACAGCTTTAGGATTGACATACGCATCACACTAATATATTTTTTTATAATTTTAGGCATTCAAACTCCTAAATGTATTTTTCCTTGAGATGGGGAAGGGATGGTGTAACCTCATCTAGAATAGAATGCTGTGGTGAACTTTTCAAAATTGCCCTTGGGCACTTCCATTTTCTCTGGATTCAGCTACAATTTATTTTTCCTCATTTATTCTTCCATAGCAATTTGAGAAAACACTAGAGATCTTGCATAGAAATAAATTTTGGTGCCAACAGCATCCTAATAAGATTAAAATCCATATACCCTGATGACTCAGGGTTTTTGGCAGAATAGGGGACATTAAAAACAGAGGTAAGAACCAGCAGCTCAAGGTCCACATATCCTGAAAGGCATCCCCAGAGCAGACTACTAAAATATGGAATACATATAGTTTATAAGGCAGTATGGTTTCTTTCATATAATTAAGGAAAAAAAGAAGATATCCAATGTTCCTAAAAGAAAGGAAACCCTGAATCTACCTAATCAGACCCAGAAATTTCCCCACTCAATCTGCCTATGGATTTTTCGAAGTCTTGTATTTCATATAGAGCTGCTCTTACCTCTTTCTCAGCCCATGTATACATGGCTTTTAAAAGAGGCAATCTTCCTCTGGCACCACAGTTTTTCCATAGATATTGACAGCTCTGTATAGTCCACCAGACAACTGATTTGCATCTCATGTCTCTGCAAGGTAACACCATGACAGAGGCAGATCACCCATCTGCCAGCCAGCCCAGTGGGGTAAGAAAGGGGAAGAACAGTTAGGGGAAGAATGGAAAGCAGCTGGGCCCAACTGCCATGTGGTCTGAGATAGGGAGGGGAGGGGTGGGGTGGGGTGGGGCAGAGCCAGCCGGTGGTAGGATTAGCCAGTTTGCCAAACTGCGCAAAAAGGTTAACAAGGGGTTCAGCTAAATGAGTAAGAACTGGCTGAATCCTACCACTGATGTGGTTCCTTAAGGACTACTTGTTGAGTGTGTTTTGTCAGCCATTTGCAAATAGTAGTGATCCTGTCTAATTTTTCTAGTTTACCAAGAAGTAGATTGTGATTTACTTTTTCAAACACCTTACTGAAATTCACAGATACTACATCCATGGCATTTCACTGTGTCACTTTGTCAAAGAATGAAATCAAATTTCTTTGGCATGATATTACTATTCATTGTATCTTTCATGTATTTAAGATTCATTCAAATCATTTACATTCTCAATCAACAATCTGTTTTCACTGTAAAAGAAAATATATTCAAAGTACACTGGTTTTCTCATGTGCCTCCTCCCTCCTTGTAGATGTCTCCCCCAGAAGTAACACAAAGCCTTCAAGAAAAAATAGTCTAATTACATGAACATTAAAAGTTCTAGACATCAGGGTCAAAATGGACAAAGGTTTTTTAGGAAGCAGAACATGTTCATGTATTAGCACTATACAGCATCCTAAGTGACTACACGTTCTATTTGTGCAAGATTTGAGCAGTTATTAATAGAAAGTAGATGATAAAATTAACAACCCTTGTGGGGAGATCACATTTATCCCAAGCAATTGCTATCTGTTTTATCATAGATCTGACTAAGGTACTAGGCGGCGTACCTTCTAAAGTTGAAAGACAATAACAAGCAATGTGTAGTAATCATTTTCTGCCTATGACATTGTTGCTTTTAAAAAAATAAGAATTAGTTTTAGCATTTTGCAATATAGTTCCTTTTGAATATGCTTAAAACCTGTGAATGTGTGTTTGCAATCATCAGAATTGTTGATGGATTATTTATCTAATATAGATATTGAGGGAGGATGTGGACGTCCACCTGCTGTGGACAATGGAGACATTGTGGACACACCCAAGGCAACCTATGTCCAGTCTGAAAGTGTAACTTATCAGTGCCAAAAATTCTACATAATGGAAGGATCTGCAAGAGTGACTTGTCAAAATGGCCGTTGGTCACAAACACCAACATGTAGAGGTATAATTCATATATATAATTCTTTATAGATTTGTCATGACATGAATATCCCATATTGCAGTTGTTCATGTGGCAGTGGGTGGGGCCTGAACTTGATATACAAGTGCCTACAACCACCCACCCACCATATGGTTGGACCCCATTTATCCAACCATGCGAGCCCCAGAATTATTTCCTCCATCATTCTCGGGACTACAATAAAGTGGATCAGTTCCTGGTGCTGGCCAAACTCCAGCTTCACCCATTCTGTAATCTGTGTAGCTGGCGCCCCATCTAACAGCAAGTCATCCACTTGCTCAAACCTCATGGGCCTTCTCAGTTTGTTCACCTTTACCCCCAACTTGTCAGCTGTCACTAAGCTCATAAGACACCGTGTACACCCTGAATCAATAAGAGCATTACATGCTCGACGCCTCTGGCCTGTTTGTATCACTGGAAGCCAGAAGGGTTGGGAAGTCCTCCTTACTATGGAGTAGGCTTCCACTTCATCATCACTGTCACAACTGTTGAGCTGGGATCCCCCTTCCACCATTGACTTGGATTCATTTGCTGTGGCCACTGGGGTCACTGCCTCTGCCTGTTGACGTCTCGGGACTTCTCCAGAGTTTTCTTGGCCATCTTCCTAGGTGTTCTGGTCCCCATCTCGCCCAACTTCACTTTCAGAGTGAGGGTGGTACATTCAGCTGCATGATGACCTGGTTTCTCACCCCTAAAACAACATAGGCAGCCGGCCTAGTGCAGCCTTCTCCAGTTGGGCCACCTGAGGGCCTGGTCCCCTCAGGGCATTGCTGGGGGTTTGGTCTGGAAACCATTGTGGTTGCACAGGTACCTCCTCTTTTGGCCTATATTCCTGCAGTTCGGCCCCTAGCTGCTGGATACCAGGTGCCCAAGTGTGGAGGCTAGCCCCGATAGACAGGCCTGGTGCAACATATGGTCAAGGCCCCGCAGCTTACCAGCCAGTCTTCAGAATTCACATATATAGTCCACAACTGGCAAACTTTTTGCCACAATGCTAACATTTCTCCCTCTGCCCTCTGGGCCCTGGTGTTGTCTTCAAACCTTTTATGAAGTGCCTCAAAGAACAACCCTGCATTCCCCAATTCCTGGCCAAGTTCACTATATAGATCAGACACCTAGTCTATGGCCTCATCCTCCAGCACCGCCACTACAGCCATTACCATGGCTCAAGGGATGTGTAAAGGTGCACATACCGGTCCAGGTGTCTATACTTGGCCTAGGAAGAGAGCCACCTTATCTGGACTGCCATCATATGTTACTCATAGTGCTGGTGGGCCCCATGGTTGAAGTGCCCCTTGCCCGTGGCTGACACCCATTGGCCAAACAGGTGACAGAAGTGGGCTGGCAACACTAGAAGGTGCCCACTGATAGCCGCTCCCACCTGGGTGATAACTCTGATGTCCAATAATAGAGGCAGCCTCTGGCAATCATCGCTTCATTGGCTCCCTGGAGCGTCTTTGGTCTGCCTCTAGTCATAATTTGTGGCTGGCTAAATGGAAACACCCAGGAGGAATCATCGGTTGTTGGGTTGATAACAGCAGCAGCTGCCCAGGTGGCTGGGCCTTTCCCCCTGGTCCCTACTATACCAGGACCCAATGTCCCCCAAACTGACCTTTCCAAACCTCTCCCTCAACCAGTCCATGGTTTGGCTGCCAAGTGCAGTGGAATAGCTCCACTCCCCTTTATCATCCTCTGACAGGTGTCTCTCCTGCCATTTCATTAAATTGCTACCGGATAGGGTCAATGTGGGCAATGACCCCCCCAGCACCTGCAGTCACCAATGAATACTGTCAAACTCCCCTGTTGGAGCCATCCTCTGACCTGCCTCCCCCGTGGATGTATATGGCTCCTGTCTGGATGTGAGAATCCCTGAACCAATCCACTTCTTGGGACACCCATCCAGGGCAGGGACATATTGTTGTGCTGCCAGGGCTTCAGGTACTGCAGCCTCTGCCCCAGCCTCCATCTCCTCTGCCACAGTGGCCCCTCCAAGGAAAGAGCTGCTAGATGGGGTTTTGAATTTGAAGTGAACACAAACTTCCTGTCACGTTCCGCTGTCCCATGTCAAGAAAATCCAGCAACACAGTTCGGTGTGGTAATGTTTATCTGGTAAACACGAACCTGGCATGAAGTTACCAACTATAAATGAATCAAAGTCTGTGTTACCGTGGTTTATTTCACCACCCCTTATATGGTGCTCCACTCACTGTGTGATTCTACCCCCTTCACCTCCCACCTATTGCTTGCTGCCAATACGGCTGCTGCAGTTTGGCAATATGCCAGCCGCCCAACCTGAGCCATCATGCCCAGCTTCCTGTGCCTGCTCACAATCCAACAGTCAGCTGTTCTGCCACAAATCAGCTGTGTCAAAGTCCAGGCCTCTGCTCACTGTCCGCTGGCTCCATTAATGCAGCAGGATTCCTGCAGCGTGCCACCCACACAGTAGGCAGGCATGTGCCTGGGGTGGCCATTGGCAGCAATAAATATGCATTCCAGCTGGCAGCTCCTTCCCTTTCCGAATGGCAGCCCCAGATCATCTGGCAGTCCGGGGCTGACATAATCTTTTTATCAAAGGAATTCTTCAGTATCAAACTTTCTGTGTTTCATCTGATTTGTGTCTTTTTACAGTTGCTTGTACAGCAAATGAAGAAGATATGAGAGAACACAATATAAGGCTGAAGTGGAGCTACAGGAATAAAATATATGTTGAAGATGGAAATACAGTAGAATTTGTATGTTTAAAAGGCTATAAACCACACCCAAATACCAGATCATTCAGAATTAATTGTTTGGATGGGAAATTTGACTTTCCAGATTGCATTCCTGTATGTATATTTTCAGAAAAGTACTATAATTCACCAATATATCTTTCCCCGTCTATATTTATATACTTACTGTATACATCTATATCTAATCATTGAAAAAAGGCAGTTGCAATATTTAAAAGGCCAAAGTCTGGCAGCTAAAGTTGTGAATATAATGGATTCTAAGGCAACTTGGTCTTTGGCAATTCTTCTAAATCAGAACACTGCTTAAGATTCCTGTGACCTAAATAAAATTCTTTCTGTTCAGAGCAATGGGAGAGAAGCACTATGAGGAGAGATGTTACTTAAAAACAATGGGGCATGGGACTGGGAGGCACAAACGTCGCTCATCATTTCATTTCATCTCTTCTGGTCTGTTGCTGAATCCGGGGAGATTCCAAGATAAAGAACAGGAGATTCCTGTGTCCCAGGCCTGAAATGAATGTAAACTCTAATTTGACCTCAGTGGGCTAGTTTGATTGATTTCATTATCCTCAATGAAACAAATTCATTTAGCATGCACTCTAAAATTTTCAGTAGAAAGCAAGTAATTCTTAGGTTGGATCTAGTAGTCTCTTGAAGTCAATAGAACTTCATTTAGTAATGGATAATCTATCTCATCCAATTCATTTCAGAGGGTCTTCTTGTTCAATCTATTTTTACATTCATTGTATGCTTGGAAATATTTCATGGGATACCTTATTTTACATGTAATCAGAGGTGGTATTCAGCAGGTTCTGACCAGTTCTGGATAACCAGCAGTGGAAATTTTGAGTAGTTCAGAGAACCGGCAAATACCACCTCTGACTATCCCCACCCCCATCTATTCTCTGCCTCCCAAGTCCCAGCTGATTGGCTGGGTTTTGTTGCCCTGCACAGGAGAACGGAGCTGGAAAGGGATTTTGCAATATCCTTCCCCTGGAGTAGGGTAGGAATAGAGATTTTACAGTATCCTTCCCCTGCTACGCCCACCAAGCCACCTCCATGGAACCAGTAGTAAAAAATATTGAATCCCACCACTGCATGTAATGAATGATTATCAGTGGTTACTAATTCAGTTAATTTTATTTTTTGTTCTGGTCCTGTAGCTTCTGACAGATATTGATAAATAGGTATGTAAACACAAATGTGCAAATTGAAAGGGGAGGAGAATATTTCAATATCAATGCAAATGGAATAAATAAAGTAAAATGTAATAGTGTTTATTTATTTATCACGGAGGCCAGTGAAATCAATGAACATAAGCCACTGGATTTAAAGTAGAGTTTCCACTCATTTCAGTCCCAGTACAGAGGAATATTTATGTAATGGAGCTTCTTTCTAATCAATGACAAAATGGCAGCTTTCTCTATCCTCCTAATTGTATTGCCTGAGAATAATGGGAGTTTGTTTATTCACTGCATTTGTATCCCATCTGTTCTCAAGTTTAACCCCTGTGAGGATGAATTAAAGTTTGGTAATGTCTAATTCCCTACTCCTATTTTTCAAATGTTGGTGCTTTGAGTTCATTCTGATTGCTGGAGTTTATATCCCAAAATATCAAGAATGCCTAATAATTTATTAAAGTTTGTTACATGTCATTGTGTCAAAAGTCATCTTTTTTAAAAAGAAGAAATTGCTCAGTGATAAAATGGTTTACAATTTTTGAGCCACTTGAGTAATTTTAAGCAATTGTTTTAGCAAATTGAGAGGCTGCTTACTCATGTACAAATCAATTTGATATCCTAAAGTTATCAGAGGCTGCATTTTGTTGCAGATCAAGATTTATCAGTTTAAAAAAGATATATAAAATGCAGAGATGCAAAATTATTTCTTCATTATTCACATTGTATTTTACAGAAATAAATAAAGGAACAAAAGGACCATTCTTTGAACCAGAAGATGAATATCAGAAATCATTTATCATTCTTCTCAATATGATCACATGAAACTATTTGCTGTCAACAATGGATCTGAACCTAAAAGTCTACTTTGTAAAAACCAAATTTTACTAACTGGGTAAATGATAACATTTATCAACAAGACTATCTTTAAGGCAGATTAAAATATTATAATGCAACATAAACAATTTTTTAAAAATACATCTGGAGAGAGGAATGTACATTGACATATGCATAGCCATTTTATTTAGCCTTATTATATATTCCTTTTCTTTCTTTCTCTTTGCTGGTTATGGGGGGGAAGGGTTTCAGGATTGCCATATGCCACATTCCTAAGGTGGGAGGAGTGGAGATAGGGAGACTTGTTTAGGCTAGTTGGTTCTCATTCCCGTGGGAACAAAAGCTGACCCTGCTGAGACCTGGAAGTGGAGATTGATGACACCAGGCAACATTGATTTACTTCAATTGGGGAATGTGACTCTTGGGGGGAGTTTCTAATTTCCAATATTACATGGTGTAATTCTGGGTTGTGTCAGATCCAGAATTACAACAGATTTTGCCAATTTGATGCTTTCCTAATTAAAAGAAATTGTTTCGGAAGATGGATTTTGCTCTTTTCTTTTTAAATGGATTTCATCACTTGGAAACCTGACATAAACATTTCATTAATCTGAATTATCAGTCAGCAGACCATCTTAACACAACAAAAATAGATAATTGTAATTAATATTTTTAGCATAAAGTTATATTGAATTCTTATAAAAAAAATTAAAAAATATTGTGGGCTTTTCCCCCCACCAAACTATTTGTAATATATTTTGTAAAGAAACAGAGGTATACAGTAAACACTCCAATTCACAGTCCAGTCCAAGATCCAGAAGTAGCCTGGCCTTCCTCAAGTTGTTTTCAAGGTAGCCTGATATGCCTTAATGCTCAGAATCAGAGACAGGTTCAGCCAAATGGATTTCTGCTACCCTAATGTGTATGGGAAAATCACAAGCAGGTACAAGGGTTTTTTTTTTTCCGGACAGTATGAAATTGTATAATTATTGATAAACAATTAAAATTAAGCTAGATCTTAGAAATTGGTGCAGGGCTACACAGAATGGAATAAAATGCACCACCTCTTACGGTGGTTTCCTTTCTGCTGTTTTTAAATCCATAAAATCCTTTCTGGCATTTCATTCTGGTGTGACTGTATCATCTCTGAATTCTAAAGAATTCACTGGTTTCTGACTGACCATTAGATGGCAACAGGCTTGATGTTATGAACAGGACTCCAAGACAATAGCATTCTGGAGGACAGGAGATTTCAGCTGATGAGCTTTCATTCCTTCTTACACCTACCTCGGTTAGGGGGAGTCAGTCTGAGCCTTTTCCTGATAACTAACTCCTTTCCTGGGCTTTATAGAAAGCTTCTGCACTTATTGTTTCTATAACTGTTTCTGAATATTATTTTCAAGGCCATCTTTATCATTCTCTGTAGCAGAGTATAGGTCTGGCACCATCCTAGTGTGTCAAATGTAGGAAGACCAATACTGCAAGAAACATAGACCTAAACCCAAACCGAAGGCCAAAGGAAGAGAAGGGATATACGAAGTAGACAGGAATGGGTGTTGTTGTTTTTAAAGGTGGGGCCCATGAAAGAGATGGCACACTTTTTCAATATCGCAAGTTGGCAGCATTTAATGAAGGTAGATGTAGGGCACCCACTCCATTGAAACATACCAGGTGGGCAGAAACAATTGGAGGCAGATAGGCAAACCCTCAGATAGGAAAAGAAAGAGTAAAAACTGTCAGAGTGATGTGGTATTATGTAGAATATTAGGCTTTATCGTTTGCATGGCATCCATGCCTCCTTTTGCAACCATGTTTTTCTTTTGAACCAAACCTTTGATGAAACAATAGGGCTCTATCCTAAAGTCCCAAGGCTTCTTTATGGTCAATAGGCTTGGAAATATTGAAGAGGGAATGCCCTTGGACTCAGAACCCTATACACTATACAACACACGGAAATATAAATACATACCGCATGAAATTATTTCAGATAGCCTGTATTCATAGAAGTAGCAAATACAATTTTAAAGATAGTATCAAATTTAGAAGAAATGGTCATGGCTACTAAAATGTCTAAAGGAGACTCAGTGCTGCTGTAGCAACTATAATAAGCACATGATGGCAGCAGTAACCCCTGACTCTACCTGAAAAATGATATTCATACCAAGTAGAGCCAGAATTTGAAATAATAATTCTGGATGCTTTCAAGAAGACAAAATAACGGTGCATTGCTATATAACTGTATAGCAAGCCCCATTCAATCACAGTGATAACTGAACAATGCTCTCTCTACTACAGCCAAAGTGACTTTCCAGTTTGAATAGATGAATTTATCATCTGCATTCCATGAATTTTCTAAATGTATTATACTCTGTGCAAACAAGTCAATATATTATTGCTTATGAAAGCAATTGCGAGCCTAGGGAAGGTTTTTGGATAGCCCATACTAATCCCACCAGATTTTGGCAAGATTTTAAGAAGTGGTTTCAATGTCAGTCTCCAGTCTTTGATGAAATGATAGGATTATTGAACAATTATTCACCATTGTTACTGCATTTTCACTAGAGTTAGCAATTCATCTGGAGATACAAATCTCTGATAAAAATTAACGCTTTCACAGAAAAGGGTCAGACTAGAATATTGCCTCACTCTATGCAGTAGTGAAAACCTCTATTCTCCATTCCATTTATTTTGATAGTACAGGAGCACAACTTTTGTTTAGAGTCACATTTGGCCTTTGAATGCCAGAGTGACTTCCTGAATAGTAGCAAAGCAGGGAATGGTTTAAAAATTGGGGATTAAGAGGATGGGTGGAGAGAGTTTCGGTGGGCCAAAATTTAAAGTAATCAAATCATATTGAATTCAGCATAGTGAAAAGGCTAGATGGAGGGATTTGGAGGAATAATTCCAGAGTGACCAATTGAATATATATGTAATATATTCAGGAGTAACCAATTTAATGAATTAAATTAAATTGGATAGATTTTACATATCATCTATCTTTATTTATAAACAAATGGCTCTGAGTGTCGACCCTGAAGATGACATATGTGTAGCCATAATTTATATTAGCCTTGTATTTTTTTCTATTAACTTTTAGGTTTGTAGTAACTTAATTTAATAACATTTCTGTTAAGTCTGGGCGGTGGGTCCCAAGGAGAGACGAGACTCGTAGTAGTGAACAACAGCTCTTTATTAAGCAACCAGATACTGAGACAAAAACCCTAGCCGCAGCTGCTTTTTTTTATAGAGCTGGCCGCAGCTAGGCAGCCAATGACAGGTTTTTGAGCTTGCCGCGCTTGGTGTTAGCCAATTGTGGCAAGCTTTATTTGAGCCAATCAGAGTGTCCCATAACAAACAGTCAGCTTTTCCGGACCAATAGGAATGCAGGCCTTCAAGCCTGCTAGTACGGAACAATTTCAGGTTCACCACTTTCCAACTGTTGAAAGGAAGGGTTGTAAAGAAAAAAGGGGAAGGTTATGTCTAGGTGGTATTTGCTTCCCGTGGGAACAAGTCAGATGGAGTTGATGGACTGTTGGACTGAGAATTAATTGGAGATTGTGACTCATCAGGGAGGTTTCACACTTTTGCTTTTATTGGGTGTAATTCCGATCTGGTTCGGAGCTGGAATTAGACCAAATCCTTGCCAATTTAGTGTGTTTCTAATAAATAGATTTGAAAAGGAAGATGGGCGCCTTGGACTTTATGTTTTGGGACACATTGCTTGGAGGCTTGACACTGAGTTCCATTCATGTGAGTCTCTAGAAAAATGTTCTCTTCAGGGATGGGATTCAAATTTTTTAACAACCAGTTGGGTGTGGCTGTGGGTGTGGCTAGGTGGGCATGGCCATGTGACTAGGTAGGC